TAAAAAGGATCTAATTTATATTTTTTGTTTTCAATTCAATTTTTACTCATACCAATCACCGAATGAATAGGAAAATAATTATTTAACTTCATAATAAAGACCTTGTGCAATTCCGTATTAATTTATTTGATTCCAAGATATATCATGCGGGTATATACGGACTGAAAGACAAGGGATATTCCGGTTACGTCTAAGCCAGTGTGTCGCAAGTGAAACCTCAACTGGTCTATCATGTGATCTATTCGTCTATCCGTTTGTCTATTTAATCAGAACAATCATCAAATAACATAAATCTTTTTTACGTTTTTATATTTTAAAGTTTCCTAATTCACGATATAAATTTCGAAATAAGTTTTCATCGTTAACGCTTTTAACATAAATGATTTAGACACAATTTTTTATTAAAATTGTTTGCTTTCTGTACTAAAAAAAAATATTGAAATTTAATCCTTTTTTTTCTATTTTTTTCTTTTTGATTGATTGTTACTAATATCTCTATAAAGTGAACGGAATCGTTCATTAATTCTGTCTATTCGGATAGAACGTTTTCAATGAATCTTTTAATTACGAATTTCCACAAATTTTTTTCTCAAATTTTTTAACTTAATTTCTTTTCTTTTCTTTTTTTTTCCCCTTTTGTTGCTACATTTATCGTACGACGAAATCCTTTGAAGAATTTTGAAGTAAATAAGAAGAGCATTTCACCAGCCCTTCCTTTCTGTTAATTTCTAAAGAAGGAACCCGTACACCTGGCGAAGATTTCAAGGGGGACGAAAACCGATGTCTACGTTTCTCTTTCTTTCTTTCTTCTCTCTTCTTTCTTTCTTTCTTTCTTTCTTTTTTTTTTTTTTTATGCGTGTATATCTTCGCATGCTCCTTTATTCTGCGTCCCTCTTTTCTCTTTTAACCAATAGAAATCCTGCATGGATTCAATTCCAGGTGTACGTTTTCGCATCCTTTATATTATTCAACGAACTCCGAAGCAAAATTTTGGCAATGACTATAAGTAAAAATATGTGTGTGTTGCAGTTTAAAAAATATTTTAATACATATCAATCATTTTCCCGATCTATTAATCAATTGCAAAATTATATTTCGACGACAGATGAAAAATATATTTATATTATTTCTCATATTATTATTAATATCTTGTCAATATTTTTTAAAGAAATATTTTTTAATTTATATTTAATTTATATAAAATGAAATTATAATAAGAAATTAAATGATTAAAATTAGATAGGATACAGATGAAAATAATTCTAAATTTTAATCAAATTATTAAAATATTTATAAATATAATTAATATATGACATATGGACAAATTTAAAATATTGATTGTAATTAATTGTAATTTGTTAAAGTATTAATTTGTAATTAATAATAAATATTAATTATTATATTAATCATACGTCTATCTACAAGCTGGTTAATAATTGTATCATAAATTTAACGTTTAAATTACGAAGGAAATATGATATCTACTCTATTAAAGACGTTAAATCATTGATATACGACAATAATCAAGAAGCAAGTAGAGAAACTGAAGTTGTGAAGAGACATATAAACAGACAAAGAAAGAGAGAGAGAGAGAGAGAGAGAGAGAGAGAGAGAGAGAGAGAGAGAGAGAGAGAGAGAGAGAGAGAGAGAGAGAGAGAACGAATGAGTAATTTAATTATGCAAGTTTCAAACAATATCTTTGTACACAAACGATAGCGTCGCTAAAAATTTCCAATTATTTTTCATCGTTTCAATTAAAAATTGTTGATATTACCTTAAAATTAATATTTATTTAACGAAATAATACTAAAAAAAATTTTTGTTAAATACAAATATAAAAAATTATGTATTTATAATGAAATTCAATTATTCTCGAAGAGAAGTTAGTATAAATTTTTTCTTTTCTCTTTTTTCCTTTTTCCTTTCCAAAATTAATTGATCTTACAAATATTACGATGATCTATATTTTTCAATCAGATTTTATATTTAGAAAAATAAAAAATGATCTAACGTAATGTTTATCATTCGAGTATGGAAATCATTAGAAAACATGAAAAATCTTTAATCATCGCCACGTTTTATTTCTTTATGGAAGCTTAGAATATATTAGAAAGGCGATTGTTACGAAAAATACTTTTATTTAGTCACTTTTTCTAAAGGAAGTATATCTATCTATCTATCTATCTATCTATCTATCTATCTATCTATCTATCTATCTATCTATCTAACTAGAAATACAATTCAATAAAATACAATTAGAAATATAAGGTACATATCTTTATGTACATAGATACATATATACATGTATATGTTCTTCATTCTATATTTACCGATTGTTATCTTTCTTTAAAGAGCTATATAACTTTGAATGTTCCTTCAAATTTCTATCTAAATTGTATGGATAAAAAAAAGTTAAAAAAGAACGAACATAAGTTCCCTTTTTTCGTTTGATAGATAAAAATCAAAGATTATGTTTTATTTTAACGTGAAATTTTTAAGTATCGTTTTATTTCGAGAATAATCTCTCCTATTATATTACGAATACATACATACATATATGTATGTATATGTACACATAAATATACATATACATCAGTCGGCGATAACGAAAATGTAATGAGATAGTATAGTTTTGAGATATTTATTAGCTTACTCTCAAGTTAAAATTATTTCGAAATCATTGCTTTTTATAATGAAGACAATACACATTCAGAAATGTGAAAAATATATTTATTCTTGAAAAGATCTTTAAATATTTGGAAAAAGTAAATATCTTTTTTTTATATAATTTAAAAATTTTAATATATCAAATAACAATCAAACAGTATTTAATGACAAATAAAACAGCAAATATATTTATTTTTTATTAAAATAATTCTTTCGTGTAATTCAAAAAATTTTAATAATAATTCTTCAGAAAAAAAAAATATATATATATATATATATATATGTCTCCTAATATATATAATGATTTGAATTACTTTCATAATCGTCGCGAGTCACATATATGTATATATATATAGAATTTAATTTTATTTCATTGATTATGATTGCGAGGAAGTACCACACGCATCTCACTGATGTTTTTCAATCTTTTAAACGACGAATCCACGTGGAACTGACGATAAAGGAAACTTGAACTGAGATTATTTTCTTTTTTTTTTTCATTGATTTATAACGATGCTACGAAGTTATAGAAGAAACCGAGAAGAAATGTTCTTAGAAACGTGATACACTTGTACGAAGGCAATCAATGAAACATGATTTACATATTTTTGAAATTTACAGATGATGTTAAAATTATCGAGAGAGAGAGAGAGAGAGAGAGAGAGAGAGAGAGAGAGGGAGAGATAGCGAGAGATAATGATTATTTCAATATATTATAATATATATCATAAAGAAATTTGGGATATAAATATTAGAAGGAGAAAAATTTATATAAACAATTGAATTATATATTTATATGATAGAGAATGTGGTAATGCGTCTTGATAAATAATACGATATAATTTCGACTTTAAACATTTTTATCAAATATTCCAAATGGTCATTTTTATTGATTGATAAATCTAAATGTTAAAAAAAAAAAGAAATAAAAAATAAAAAGAAACTAATTCTAATTCTTAACATCTTATCAATAGAAATTTTTACGAAAATTAACGATTCAAAACGATTATATTGATCGATCGATATGTCTAATGTTAATTCTGATCACATAAAAAAGATATTCTCAATTCGTAGTACATTGATAAAAACATGATTTATAAACATGATTTTACGTCATTGCTTCGGTATACATATACATATATGAGAAATAAGATCGAAGAGATATTAAAGTAAAAAAAAAAAAACAAGAGAAAAGAAAAGAAAAGAAAAGAAAAGAAAAGAAAAGAAAAAAAAAGAAAAATAATAATAATAAATAAATAAATTAATGATCATACGATTTTTACATCTTACGTAAAGCATGATAACATTATATATATAATAACAAATAAATTTGACAACGTATCATTAAACTTGCATTAAAGAAAGATATGATTAAAGATTAATGTAAATTATATTTTCTTTTGATAAGATCGATAACGAAACTGGTTACGTTTATCTTCTCACTCGTAAATCGCATGACTGAGAGTAACAATGTATGTATATAATGATCTATACCACAGGATCTCTTTCTTTCTCCTTCTTTCTCTCTCTCTCTCTCTCTCTCTCTCTCTCTTTCTCTCTTTCTCTCCCTATGTCTCTCTTTTTCTCACTCTTTCTCTCGATAACGAAACAGGACACCTTTATCACCTTTTCCGTAGTTTTACAATCGAATGAAAATAAATATGTGTATATAACGATTTTGTATTTTACAAGGTCAAAAACAAAGAACGAGAGTGAGTAACAGAGAGAGAGAGAGAGAGAGAAAGAGAGAGAGAGAGAGAGAGAGAGAGAGATACAATAACTTTCCTTAGAAAATAAAAATCAATAAACGATCGTTGAAAGATTGATAGATATTAATCCAATATCATTGGACATATACAATCTCAACTAGCATTATATATTACGTATAAAAGAATAATAAATTCGTTAACGTTTAATTAAATATCTCAAATGAAGAAAAAATTATTATTAAAATTATTCTTATCGTATATAATGATCTATAATTTTTCTTCATAGATCCAACTAAACTAGACTCTTACGATATATACACGTACGCATATATATATATATATATATATATATATATATAGAGAGAGAGAGAGAGAGAGAGAGAGAGACATATGTAAAACAACAAATTCGTTTTAACAATATTACAACATTACCTATTCATCCCCTCCCTCTTCCCATTCCAACCTACCAGATTCGAGAAAGTCAAAGAGGGAGGAACAACTCTTTTGTTTCTAACAAACGTTTAAGTTCGAAAGTGTCATGCGCCAGCTTCGGTGTTAGTATAATATATACATGTACCTACACATGCGCAGAGACGTTAGTATATAGGAAAGAGAGGGTAATACCTAAACGCGGAACGGCAGCAGCCTCGTTCAGAGAGAAACGTGAAGACGGATCACTCAGAGCTCGACCACCGTGTCGCGCATAGCTTTCCTGTCTCCGTCTAATCGTGTTGTTTCTCTGTTACTCTATCTCCCCTTCTCTCTCTCTCTCTCTCTCTCTCTCTCTCTTTCTCTCTGTTTGTCTCCCTTTTTCTTTCTTTTTATTTATCAATCTCATTCAGTCTTTCTATCTGTCATTCATAATCTTCGTTGTTGTCAACGAGACAAAGACGAGATAGAGGGAAGTAGATCGTTTATCTAGTGCGTGTGTGTTTGTGAACTATGATCCTTTATCAAGGATTTCGACGTACTTAGGATCTTAATAAGGATCTAAATTATTATTTAGGAATCAAAGATCGTAATATCACTCTGTGATATTGCAAGTGATATTCTAATAACAGGTAAGTTTCTTTAATATTTAATGTTTTTTTTGTTTTTTTTTGTTTTTCTTTCTTTTTTTTTTTTGGTTCGTGTAATTCTCATGGATATCTTCGAATATAAAGATAGAAAGAGTGATGATCATTGACCGTGTATTCGTTTTTTATTTTTTTTTTTTTATAAATTATATATTAATTAATTAATTAATTATAAATTGTACATATATATATATATATATATATATATATATATATAAGGGTGAACTATCATATAGTGTATATTTTTTTGTCATCGTGGAATTATTTTTCAAAGTGTTTTTGACTTGTTTCAACGTGCATGAGTGTACGGGTACACGCTGACCACGTTACCATTTTTATACCAAGAGATTCTTGAATGAAAATCTACGTGTATCGAATCGTAAATGGATCGAATGTGTTTAAGCGATTTCAAAATGTCGTGAGAATTTTGTTAAAAATATATTCTGTTAGAGATAGGATTCGTTTGAAAAGAAATTTTCTTTTTCGTGAAGCATCGAAAGAAGCAGTATGGCCGCCCTTTCGAGTGCTTTAAGAAGTATATACGTTTTCGTATCGAAGTGGTTGCTAACGAATTAAAGTTCGTTCTTATCTTTCTTTCTCTCTCTTTCTCTCTCTCTCTCTTTTTCTCAATTTTTTCTCTCTCTTTCTATCCTTTTTCTCAGTTTTTTCATTGAAATTATAGTTTTTTTTTTTTTTTTTTTTTTATCAACGAAATCGTGTTTTATGGAAATCGAGAGTAACGAAGATAGTGCATTTAAATTCGTCGTCATCGTGGTTATTGTCGTCATAATTATAAATTATAAATTATTATTCGTTCAGGCAGCTGATATTTACTTTTATCGATAAAAGGAAAAATTAAACCTTCTAAGAATTAATGTATTGCGATTTTCATGAGCGCTTATACGAACGCATTAAAAATCATGTGAAAATAAGAAAGATGAAGAGAGAGAGAGAGAGAGAGAGAGAGAGAGAGAGAAAGAGAGAGAAGGAGAAGGAGAGAAAAAAAATTAGAACTTTCGACTCGGTTATTATCGAATATTTTTCTTTCATTCATTTTTTATCTTTTTATACTCTTCTAATATTCGTACTATATAAACGACGTGAAACATGATAAGCACGTGGCGAGTTCTGAGTCGCCGTTAATGGTTCGAGAATTATGTTAATTCTTGGCAAAACAGATAAAGAAAGAGACAAAGATAGAGAGAGAGAGAGAGAGAGAGAAAGAGAGAGAGAGAGAGAGAGAGGAAAAAAGAAAGAGAAAGAAAAAGAGAAAGAAAAAGAGAAAGAGATACAAAATTACAAATTAGTTTTGACGTTAAACATAAGAAAAGATAAATTTGTTTCTTATTTAAATATATATGTATAGATATGCATATATACACACCCACGCATATATATATATATATATATATATATACTTGTATATAATGTATACATATATACTATGATAATTTCGGGAATCATGACCCATTTTTTTTTAATGCTTCAGTATATTGTCTTTATAATAGGCATTATGTTTGTAAAAGTAAATAAATGAAAAATTGTAATTTCAAGAATAAAACTAAAATAGTAATTAAGATTTTAGTAAAAAAAAAAAAAAAGAGAAATTGTTTCCCCATGCAAAAGGCCATATCATCCATATTGTATGATTGAGATTAATCCCCGATGATTCAAAGTATTATTGTTTTAAAAATAAAAAATAAAAAAAAACAAAGAAATGGTTTTGCTGAAAGAAAGATTATTTCTTTTAGAAGAAGAAAAATCATTTTTTTTCTTTCATAAAATTGTTCCACGAAGATCGTATAAATTAAAAAAATATCAAACATCCTTCTTTAAAAATCATTTATCGCATCTCGCATGATCAAATTCATCTTCGTCTCCCTAAATCTAACGCAATTAGCGTTATTTTTTCTTCTTTTCAAAATCTTTCTGGACTACAAAATCTGAAAAAAATGTTCACCCAAAGTTGAATCTTTCGTAAGAGAACGTTTACATTTGTCTAAATTTTGAACTCGTTTTGTTACTTTAGTCGGTCGAAACGTTTCGTATTTACGTTTTTTAATTAGTTGAATTATACCTGATGACATACCTGAGGATTGGTTTAATTTTATTTAACATTGCGTCTGACGTTTTTATCGCCTAAATCTTTTTATTAATTATTTTCAAACTACAATTAGGTGAGACAGATTCTGGTTCATTATTTCCCTTTGCGTTTCTTATTTTACTCTTATTTTACACGAGGCACACGTTGTTCCGATTGTTGTTCTTCATTAAAAAAGAAAAAAGAAAAAAAGCGCAGAATATATCTTCGTCATTAAAAATGATCAATAAGAAGAATAAAAGTTCATCATTCCTATAAGCAGTCAGTTTTACTTAAAAAAAAAGTTGAATTGTCTACGAATACAAATGACTTATCTAATTTCTCAATTGAAAACAAATCAAGAAATATTCTTTACGTGTTATATTAATAATTATCAATTTTACTGAGTGATAATTATCAATTATCAATTTTATTGAAAATATTTAAGAATTGGAGTTTATCTACGAAATGTTTACGAAAAATCGAGTCGTCTCAAAGTTACAAGTCCATCTCACCCGGAATTACCCTATATATGTGGATTTAAGACATGTGAATAGATGATAAGAAGATTTATGTTCTTTGAAATATCTCATATTGAAGTACATATAAAATACCATTTACATAAGTTGTTAAAACTTAAACAATTTGATTAGATGTATCTTCTTCTTTTTTTTTTCTTTTTCATTCTTATCTTTTTCAATCATTATTATCTTTTTTTTTCTTTCTTTTTTTTTCCTAAAGACGTTAACAGATGAATCACGAGAGTGAACTGTATTCGTCAGTACGAAAAGGAAGTTCGGAAAATCCGGTCGGCGACCCACGTGGTCTATTGATTTTCTTGGTCGCCACGCCATTCCACTCTACTCCACTTCACTCTTCTCAGTGATGGAAACTGGCCTCTTCGACTTCACTTAATGTCTCGCGAATATCACGTTCCTTCTAGTATTCCTTTCTACGATGAAAATTTAATTAAGAAAGAAAGAAAGAAAAAGATCAAAAAAACAAACTAAATATAAAAAAAAAAAAAAATAAATAAATAAAATAAAATAAAGTGATAAGAAGGCGTTGGAGGGGGGGGGGACAAAAGAAACAAAAAAAAAACTCGAAGCAAATTTATTACGAATTATTTCAATGAGTTATCATGAAAGTGTTTCTTATATAAGTCAAAAATTATAGAAAAGGAAAACAATATTATTAGTTCATTGTTTGTGATCTAATCATACGACGAATTACTTGATAAATGAATTTCTTTTTTTTTTTTTTCCTTTTTTTTCTTTTTTATTGATGATTCATTCTTAAATTACTTTTATAATCATCGGTTCATTTACATACGTATCAATAAGTGTCCATCTCATTTAATTTCGTCGTATCAATTGTATTTGTATTTTTCTATTATGCACGAGGAAATGCGTGAAATAATACGTATATTATTTATTAATTAATTCTTATTTTTTTTCGAAAAATCATTGTACGAAATCAAATTGAATATTTTTACGAATAAATTAAATTAAAAAATATAAGAAATAATAATGATAATAATAATAATAAATGGAAGGATATAATTGAGACGATTCGAGGCAAATTTTTTATTGAGAAAAAATTATAATGAATTATTTCTATATGACAGATGTGTCTCATCATTCAATTTTGTCATTTTAAATATTTTCGTTAGACGTTTTAATTTTCTAACGTAGATAAGGATGTGTATGCCTGAAAAAAGATTTATGGATTAAACCCTTCTTTTTTTTTTTTTTTCTTTTTTTTTTCTTTTTTCTTCGTCCGATTTATTCGTTTTGAATTTTCATTCAAATCAAATGTTATTCTAAGTATCAGACATTCCACTCGCAAACAGATCGATGACAGCGTGTCTTTGCTCTTTTCGTGAGTACCTTAAGTACAGTTCATGTCGTACGTGGGTCGTTGGCGCTGATGTTAGCGTAAGATCAATAAAAGTGATGTAACATTTGAAGGGAGTTTCGTATGCCGTCCATTCCATCCACGATTGAAAATTGAATAACCCTAACAAACATACCAATAGATTATATTTAATTATCGTATAGGAGAAAAGAAAGAAAGAAAGAAAGAAAGAAAGAAAGAAAGAAAGGAAGACATTGACGTTGAAACGATTCAGATATTATTAATTATTCTGTGAATTTTTTTTACGTTCTATTTTCTATATTGTATTTTCAAAGGAAAAAAAATATTGTACGATATTACGAAATAAAAAATTTTTTAAAAGATTTTCTTTATACTTCATTAAAAAGGATATTTAACACTTTTATAATAATTCTAACAATTTTAATACTTTAATCGACATTATATCTCTGCGTATTATATAATATAACGCTTATATATATATATATATATATATATATATATATAATAATATAATGCATATATAAAATGCGTATAGTATTCGAAGATAATTACTTCGTTAATAAATAATTCGCACAACTTTCGTAATTTTATTTCGTACATGGCAATAGAGCTGGTGGTTATATGTGTGGTGAGTTCTTGAAAAGGCACGTGGTCGATATTGGAGTGTGGTAAGGAGAAAGTAATAAAAAAAAAAGAAAAAGAAAAAAAAGTCATCGAAACATATATTGTACACGAGAGAAAATCGATCGTAAAGATCGTTCAATGAAGGGCTTTATTATATATTACATATATCAATAAAGAAATAAGTACAAATAGGTATATACGTACCGTACATATATAAATGATATTTTTGTACGATAACGCAAAATTTTTATATGATCCTTCTTTACCTATCTGGTTATAATATATATGAAATACGATAAGAAATTATACGCACGTTTCACGTACACTAATGTACGAACCACGCAAGCTGTACTGAAGCTAAATTAGAGAGAGAAAAAGAGAGAGAGAGAGAGAGAGAGAGAAT